GTGCGTGCACTTCGCTGCTGGTGGTCCGGGTTCGGATCCTGGGCGCGCACCGATGCGCCGCTTCTCCGGCCATGCTGAGGCCGCGTCCCACATATAGCAACTAGAAGGATGTGCACCTATGACATACAACTATCTACTGGGGCTTTGGGGGAAAAATAAATAAATAAACAAAAAATTAAAAAAAATACTTTATTGCTAAAAAATGCTAACCATCATCTGAGCCTTCAGGAAGTTGTAATCTTTTCCCTGGTGGAGGGTCTTGTAAAAAATGCAATATGTGCAAAGCACAATAAAGTGAAGTGCAATAAAATGAGGTATGCCTGTAGTTCAGGTATGTGCTGTTTCCAAGAGATACCCTTAAATCACAGGGCATAGGAAGATTGCAAGTGACACAGCAGGCCAATAAAAAGCAAAGAATATTGGTATATCTATAGTAATACCAGACAAATTATACTCTAAGGAAAAAAAAGTATTATAAGACCAACAATTTAATATTAAAATAAAGCAAAACCCCCACAGTTTATTATTTAAGAACATATGCGTATGCCATAAATGTATGAAAAATCACTAATAGACAACATCTTTAGATTATCTGGAGATGGTGGTGGGGGTGGAGGTTGTGATTGGGGAAGTAGATAAAAGTGGTTTTACTTCTTTGATAATTTTTTTATTATTCTAAGCTGGGTAGTGGGTACATGGTTACTTGATATAATTTCATCATATATGTTCCATGTTGAAAATAGTTCATATCAATAAAAAAAAAAAACTCTCTCCCAAATCTTATTACAAATAACTTTCAATGCAACAGAGCTGCCCAAGACAGGCTATCATGAAGGTGTTGGTCAGAGAGCCCCTTGGGAAGAAAAGCAATAGTGATGGGCAGGACAATTTAATGTGGTTTTGAGGCAGCCTCTCAGAGAAGGTAAGAGCATTCTTGATTTAGCAAGACATTCAGATAAGCAAGTTTCTTAAACTCCATTTCATCCTCTTGGAAACGTGTGTGGATGTAATCAGCCTCTTGGAAACGTGTGTGGATGTAACAACTCCGTTGCAAGGGAGTTGCGAGTTTCTTACAAGGGTATTGTGAGTATTAAATGAAACAATGAGTCTAGGTAAAGTACTTGCTACATAGTAGGTGTTCCATGAACTGCATCAAAATCTTTCTGGAAATGAGGCAGAATAGAACCAGGGAGATAGAATGAAAGAGAAATGAGATACGATTTACTTCCCAAACTCCCCAGAGCAAGGAGGGCTCTGCCTCATCCTTGTGCATACTGCTATTACAGCACTTGCTCTGTTCTATACATAAATTCCTGTCTCCCACACACAGGGAATGCTGTACCCTATTCATCTTTGCATTATGCGTCCCCTCAAGCACTGTGTCTGGTGCAAAATGGACCCTCAGTCATCATCTGGAGAATGCTGGAAACATACCGCTGTTTTTGAAAGTGAATATAGACAAGTCATAGACACATTGCAAATAAATGAATCCGTTTCGGCTATCTAGTTGGGAGCTAGCAAGTCTATAAAGGATAAGATTTACTAATACTACTATACTTAGCTCAATTTCTTGTTGGCGTATCCACATTTTACAACAGTGATAATATATTAAACATGTTCTTTTCACTTTGCAAATATTTCATGTCAGTACTTCTGTTCACGTCACTCAGATGAGTAATGTAAACAAAACTGATCTAAAGTTGGGTGATGTAAACATGAAACCTTCCCTTTTAATTTTATACACGTTTATAAAGAAAACTCAGACACGCTATTCATTTTTCTTTCCTGCTCATTTCCTCCCTAGAGGTGGGCAGCTTGGGGGTGGCGATTAGCGATTTTACAAAACTCCAGGTGGTAGTGCCAGTCACTGATTTCCTGGAGTTTATTCTTGGGGCAGGGAGCGCTCTCACTGACAGCCACTGCGGGAGGCAGCAAGATTAATGGTCTGACGGCTAAGGAGGCCTGCGCACCCCTCGCCTCCCCGCCCAGCGCGCACTGGTGCGCTCAGCTTCCCTCGCCCGCTGGGCCACTGCTGCATCCGGTAGCTGCCGCCTTCGCTGGACGCAGGCAGATCCGCACCTTGCAGAGAGCGCGGCTGATTCTAGCAAGGAGGTGGGCGGCGACCCATCCCATTAGGATTCGTCCAGTCTCTGCGCACGCTGTGACTTCCGGGGGGACAAGGAGGGGCTCCCAGGGGACGCAGATTTTAGCCAAGCTTAGTCCTCCCTACGTCTCAGTTTTAACAGAGAGGCCCCGAGCACCCCCCTGCCAACCACGGGAAAACACAGAAAGAGCGCTCGCCCTGTTGACGACTTGGAATCCCTGCAAAAACTGGGAGAGGAGACGGAGGCGCCTGCCGGTTGGGAGGCGCGGGGAGCCCTCTCCACGAACCGCTTCGTGCGCTGCTGCGCCGGGCAGAGGCGGGTGAGCGCCGCGGGAAGGGAGCGGCTCAGAGCAACAGGTGCAGCCCAAAGCCACTCCTGGAGCGAGGGAAACGGCCAGCCAAGGATCTGGAGACGGTAAGGCGCAGCGAGGGCTCTCTCCGCCTCCACGGCTGCACCGCCGGCTCCCTCCTCCCCGCCTCGGTGGCCACGCGGCGGGCAGGGGCGCCCGGGCAGGGGGAGCCCCTCAGGACTGCCGTCCCCGCCCGGGAAGGTCCAGCTGCGGGCTCCCGCCCTCGTCCATTCTCAGACGGCCCCGCACACAGACGGTGCCACTAGGCAAGGCCGCCCGGGGGCGCGTGCCCATCGGGGAGGCTCAGGCTCGGAAACTCGCGCTCTGCGTGCTCGGCACTGGGATCCCTGGCACTCTCCACCTCCTCACCGCGCCCTCTTTCCCTGGCAAGCACCCCTTGCGATGGAGCTGGCGGCCGCGAACCTCAGCGAGGGGAACGCGAGCGAGCCCGAGTCCCCCACCTCAGAGCCGAGGCCCCTCTTCGGCATCGGCGTCGAGAACTTCATCACGCTGGTGGTGTTCGGCCTGATCTTCGCGCTCGGCGTGCTGGGCAACAGCCTGGTGATCACCGTGCTGGCGCGCAGCAGGCCGGGCAAGCCGCGCAGCACCACCAACCTGTTCATTCTCAACCTGAGCATCGCCGACCTGGCCTACCTGCTCTTCTGCATCCCCTTCCAGGCCACCGTGTACGCACTGCCCACCTGGGTGCTGGGCGCCTTCATCTGCAAGTTCATCCACTACTTCTTCACCGTCTCCATGCTGGTCAGCATCTTCACCCTGGCCGCGATGTCGGTGGACCGCTACGTGGCCATCGTGCACTCGCGGCGCTCCTCCTCCCTGCGGGTGTCCCGCAACGCGCTGCTGGGCCTGGGCTTCATCTGGGCGCTGTCCATCGCCATGGCCTCGCCCGTGGCGTACCACCAGCGCCTCTTCCACCGGGACATCAGCAACCAGACCTTCTGCTGGGAGCAGTGGCCCAACCAGCGCCACAAGAAGGCCTACGTGGTGTGCACCTTCGTCTTTGGCTACCTGCTGCCGCTCCTGCTCATTTGCTTCTGCTATGCCAAGGTGGGGCGCGGCGGGGCGCGGGGCTGGGACGCACGCGGGAGGGCGGCGGGCCCCGAGGGCCCTGTGGTGGCCCCTTGCGTGCCCGCGCCCTTTTGCCCTCACCCCTGCAGTTTTCTGGGCGGAGTGGTGTGGGGCACCGTCTCCACTGCAGTTTGCCCTCGCCTCTGCGTGGGCTTGTCCGTCGGATGTTTAGCGAGAAAGTTACTTGGAGTTTGGTAGACGCTTGGGAAAGTTTGCAGTTCACTTCACGGACGTCCCACCTCCCCTCTCCTTCCTGGCTCCCGCAGCCAATACCTCTGTGCTTGTCCCGGCAGTGGGGCCCGCGCTCAATGCCCACTTCTCAGTGGAGGATAAAACGCTCCGTTTTAGCAACTCAGCCCCCGGCGGGCTTGGCGTGAATCGCAGGAGCGCCTGGGCAGTCCGAGCGCGCCGGCCTTTTGCGGGGGTGGCGGTCGGGTCCCCACTGCCCAGCGCTCACCTGGGTCTTAAGGGGGTGACTCCCGTGCGGCTCCTTCCCGCGGGGCGCATGGGGCGGCTCTGTGGGGACCTGGATCTGTGAGGACGCTGCTCTTGGCGACAGAGCTTCGAATTTTATTTCATACACAAGTTTAACTGTATAAACCCAAGTGGTAAAACAGTATTTCTTCAGTCTCGACCTGAGTCTCCAGAGAATTTTGGATGGCTGGGTTTTCAGCTGTTATTTTTCCCCCGTTCAAGGTTCAATCCTTTTAAGAAAGGATTATGTAAACAACGTTACACAGAGAGGTTGTGTGAACAAAGTTGAGGGCTTCAGATGTTGGGTCTACGCCTCTAACTCTAGAGAGAGGCAGTGTTGACACACAGCTGGTCCAGCTACTCCGCACCTGCTTATGGGGAAATTGTTCTTATCCTCCTTTGGGTAGCCCAACAGAGCTCAGTAAACTCACACTCTTTTATTAATAATGCAAGGTTTTGACGATTTTTATACTGATCAAAGTCTTAAACCTTTTGAAACAATTCGTATGTTTGGGTAAGAGTATATACTTAATAATCATGGGATAGTGACTCAGGGGATCAAGTCCACTGTCCCCAACACTCCTCAGAGTAACTTCATTAGAAAAACACCTCTGTAACCGAATTCTGAAATTCCAAGCGTTCTATCTTCATGTCTCGCTCTGTCTCTCCTTCTATTTGTCATAAAGCTGTGGCTATTGGACCATGAACAACCAGATGAGACAGAACAATTTCCTATATTCAATTCATAAAGTACTTTTCCCAGCAAAAATGTTTCATATAAGCCACCTGGTTTTTGTTTTTCCCCTCCCCCTGTATCATCTGTGTAGAGTCATGTCTGTTTTGAATGGCGACAGTTTTGGAGATTAACTGAAAGAATGGCCTGCGTCAAACGGTTATAGATAAAGAGATAGAGACAGGGAATTTGGAAAAGAACTCTGCCTTAGCTCTTTGGTAAATGGCTGGTTTATCCACTTTGTTTTCTGCAAATGCAAAAAAAGTCTGGTTCTGTGCAGCACGGGGATCTCTTGTGTGTACCATCTCATTTAATCTGCAAACAACCTGTGCTTGGGGCTATTGTCCCTATTTTATTGATAAGGAAAAAGGGTTTTAGAGGAGTGAAGCAGCTGACCCAGAGTGTGAGGCTGGCAAGTGGTTCAGGAAGGAATTTAATGCAGGAATTCCCAGTCCCCTGAGGGAAGGGACTGTTGGTGAAGGCCTTGAGGACATGAAGCATGGGGCTGGAGGGATTCTTAAAATATTTGGCTCAATTCATAATTACTTGAATTAGAACTGAAGCATACTCTTCCTTCATTTCCCTAAAATCTTAGAGAAAATAATTTAGGTCTTAATGAAAAAGACAAGGTAAACTTTTAAGAATAAATTAGGTGGGGCTGGCCAGTGGCACAGCGGTTAAGTGCCCGTGTTCCGCTTCTGCGCCTGGGGTTCGCAGTTTCTCATCCCAGCATGACCGACGCACCACTTGTCAAGCCATGCTGTCAAGCCAAGTGTCCCGTATAAAGTAGAGGAAGATGAGCACGGATGTTAGCCCAGGGCCAATCTTCCTCAGTAAAAAAAAGAGGAGGATTGGCATCAGATGTTAGCTCAGGGCTGATTTTCCTCACACACACAAAAAAGAAAAGAATAAATTAGGCAACATTTCTGTCATTTTAGAGTTTATAAAAGTCACACATAAGGCAAAGTTTAAAGACGATGTTTTCTTTTTTTTGGTGAGAAAGACTGGCCCTGAGGTAATATCTGTTGCCAATCTTCCTCTTTTTGCTTGAGGAAGATGGTCCCTGAGCTAACATCTGTGCCAGTCTTCCTGTATTTTGTATGTGGGATGCTGCCACAGCATGGCTTGATAGGCAGTGTGTAGGTATGCACCTGGGATCTAAACCTGCGAATCCTGGGCCACCGAAAGGGAGAGAGCAAACTTAACCACTACGCCACCAGGGTGGCCCCTAAAAATGTTTTTTAAAATTCAATAAATACATGATCACTGGGATTTTTTTTATATGGAAATAGTTTGCTTCTAAGCATAATTGGAAATTTCCTTTGAATTCAAGGTAATATTTGTAAATTCATTCCAGGCTTGAATAAGTGAAGATAACAAGTTATTTCAAGTTGCTTTCCTTTGGTTCAGTCATTAAGTGTATGCTATCCAGTTAAGGATTTTGCTACTTGAATGTGAGGTTCAGAACTACCATCACTCTTGACCTGCCCACCCACCAAGTTCCTCCACATTGCCAGAGATATCTGATGCCTAGGATGACCTTGGCTCAGGTTTGAATGTGTGCCTTCCTACACCCAATCCTAAAAGCCCAGAAGGATGGAGAAATGCCACCATGCCATCATCATCTTCTAAAGAAATGTAATTATAATTCTTCATGATACCCACATTCTTTCTCCTTTGATGACAAGATCTTCAAGGAGATGCATCATAATACGTCAATATGTGCTCATAGTATAGGCTGTTGAAGCGAAACAGAGCTAAGAAAAGCATATTGGGCTATTTCCTCCACTGACAACTCAACAACGTCCCTTAGGCATTTTGAAGTTTCTGAGCTGTGACAAATCAGGGTTTGTTGAAGGAATGAATAGACCCCTGGGCAGCATTATGAAGCAGTTAACGTTTGACTTTTCTGTTCTGACCTCCTTGCCAGGCGTCCCTCTCTGATTTTGTTTTGCAGCCTCTCTTCTGTTCTCTCCTCTTGTCCCTTGTCCTCAGTGACCTGAGTGGTCTCCTGCTAGGAAGGCTGCCACAAAGGAACCTCGCCAGGCCTGTCCTCTCCAGGCAGGGTCCTGCTTCCAGCTCTTTCCTTCCCCCTTGAAAGAATTTCTCATTTGCTCCTGCAAAAGCTCCTCTTCTATCTTTGCCTTATATTCCATTTTTGGTACCCCAATTTCTGTTGGTAACAGTAAACTAACCCATTGTCAATGTATTGAGAGTGATCCTAAATTCACTGTAGTGAGTGAAAGGCTTGTCTTGTAGATGATGCTAAGCCTCTGTAGGAAGTGAGAAGTATTTTAGTAGGGCTGGGAATTAGGAGCCAGAAATTCATACCCCAATGATGGCTGCTTAAGCTGCCTAGAGCCTGTAAGGTCGATAAATAAATCCTGTGGTTTCTCCATTAGGGTGTGACTGATTGCTCCAGAAGGGCTGCGTCTAGCTGAATGGAGCAGGCTTTTGCAAAGTCCAATTCGGTTACATTATTTCCATGCTGCAGTGCTAGTGGGAAACAAGGAAGTGTCTGCAGCGTGGCTTCCAGTTTTCGGAGATACTCGCTGGGCAAGCTATAGACTACTCAAAGCCCTTAGTCATCCAGAGGCCAATATTCTTATCCTTTCTCATCCTCAGATGGGATATAAAAGTGAACTCAGGTGCCAGTCTGTAGGGTTGGCCCTGTGGTATGAGACCAAGCTTGCGTTGTAAATATCTATGTGTAACCCAGATGTTTCACATCATTTGTTTTGAGTAGGACACTGGCAAGAGAAGACAAAAACAGTTTTTCTGATGAACAAAGCCACTGTCTGTCAAGGAGACTCCCTGACAGGGACATTAATTGTAAAACCTTGCTAAATGGTCTATAAATCATCAGTGATGCGGAATCCCCAAATGTAAATCATCTTAAAGTGCAGCCCAGTGGGTAGGGTTAGAATAAAGAATGGAAGGAGGGCTGACCGGTGGAGATTTGCTTGAAGGAGACTTGCAGCAAGGCAACCCTAGAAGAGAACACAGGAGTATGTTGGTGCCAACACTGGCCACACAGGAGAACCATCTGGTTATATCATCTTTATTTCTCACTTGCCCACTTTCCCCATTGGATGGTGCACTGCAGGGAAGTCTCTAGTTTTCCCACATATCTAGGAATTAAGATCATGTCCCACATACAGCAGGGACCTGGTAATTGTTAAAATGTAGACTCTTAGGGGAAACCAAGATGGAAGGTAGACAGACACGATGCAAATATGGGTAGCGGTGAGGCTGTCTGGACAAAACCCCAGAGCTACGTGCACCAGAACTCTCTGCACACGGAAGCACACAGAGAGCAGCAACTGCAGCTGGTACTCCTAAATGTTAGAAAAACAGATGTGGTCGGCACTTCGTGCTCATTGTTACTTCATCACCTTATGTGTATTTCAATTCGAGTGACTTTATAAATAATGGTATTACCATTTCAAGATGTCAAGAATTGTCAATGCAAAATAGACAGTGAATTGTGGGTATGAGGCAAACTGATTTTATTAGTCTGTGTTTTTCAGGTCCTTAATCATTTGCACAAAAAGTTGAAGAACATGTCAAAGAAGTCAGAAGCATCGAAGAAAAAGGTAATGTGCACAAATATACATTATATAAGCCACTTTTCAGAGCTTAGTTTATTTTTATTCTTAATTATCCTCACATTCACCCTGTGCCTGTAAACCTTAGGTTCTTTGGTGCAGACATTTGAATGAACCTCTCCACTAGGCGTAGGGGGAGTGGAGATCATCTCTTGGTGAGAGCATCAGCAACAACTATATGCTGCAGGAAAGCTTAGCTGGGGTTTAGGGAGGCCAGGAAACATGTTTTTTGGATTCTGAGCCTCTTGGGAGGTGTGTTCTAGGTTGATTGGGACAGTGTAGAGTTGCTGACATCCATAATTTGCATGAAATGATAGTCATTTTATTGCATATTTACCACCTGTGACTTGACTCCAGAAGTCTGGTTTAATTCTCCTTCTAGAGAACATCGTTATAATCTCTCCCTAAAGCCCCTGCAGCAGATGGGCAGTCCTCCCCTCCACCTGGACTTGTGCTCACGTCACCTGGAGGGGAGAGGATTAAAGATGGGAGGAAGCCTCTAGGGGAATTCTACCCATTTTTAATTCTTTCTCGTCACGTGATTCCTGATTTAAACAAGCTTCTCCTGAGTAATATTAAAGCATCTAACCTCCTGCTATATATTACATTTCACATTCTGAGGAAAAACTGTTTTACAAGTCAGGATTAATTTAACTCTTACTTGGATAATACCTATATAATTTATGATTTTAGAAAGCAGAGTGGGGGGCCGGCCTGGTGGCACAAGCTGTTAAGTGCGTGCACTCCGCTGCGGCGGCCCGGGGTTCGCCGATTCGGATCCTGGGCGTGCACCGACGCACTGCTTGTTGAGCCATGCTGTGGCAGCGTCTCATATAAAGTAGAGGAAGATGGGCATGGATGTTAGCCCAGGGCCAGTCTTCCTCAGCAAAAAGAGGAGGATTGGCAGATGTTAGCTCACGGCTGATCTTCCTCGCAAAAAAAAAAAAAAAGAGAAAGCAGAGTGGACGTAACCGGGATGATTAGACCATAGGATTAGGGAGGAGGCATTATAACCAGACATTTTACCATAAGTATTAGTCAGAACATCTTAAAATACCTCGTTTTTCCTTCTAAGTATTTTATTGTGATCAATGACATAATTTGCAGAAGTTATAGTTTAGATAATCATGTTTATTTAAAAAATCCTACTTAAAGCACAGGTCATCCTGACTTTCCTTATTTATAAACAATAATGTGGTGAAAAACATATCTGTTCCCAGAATCAATGAAAAGCAACGGTAGACACTTGGTTAAAAAGCACAGAATTTAGCTTTTATTAGATAAAACAATCATTGAGTTCTTAGGACAACCACCTAGGAATAAACGGTGCAACGTAAGCAACAAGACTGTCTCACAGCTGCCTTTCACTGATCATCCTTACATTTGCGCACTTATTATGTCGATTTCATTTTAAGCTCCTGGCTCCTCCCTTACAACAGCTGACAGTGTTAGGCTGTATGAATGGAGTAAGCCCTAAAAGCTCCTGTTTTCCTGTTTTCCATGATGTGTTGTTATGCTGGAGTTTTTCCAACTTTTTAGTCTAACACTTAGTTTTTCTTTTGAGCCACACTTCTCATCTCTAAGAAAATGATTCATTAAAAACAATTAAGGATTGTTTATAGTTTTCCCCTGGATGGTTATTTAGAGAACACCTGCCCAGCACAGGACAGGCTGACCCAGGGGATTCTAAGAGGAGCTGGCTCCTCACAGGAGCCAACACTGCAGTGGAAGAGACAAATAAGTGTTCTTCACTGTGACGAGCATTTGGAGTCAGGGGAGGAAGGAGAGTAATGTCCTTGGGGAGGGAGAGAGCTTGCTGGACATCCACAGAGGTGATGCCCTTGATATACGAGACACGCTTATTGATGCAAAAGATTTTATGTTAACCAAAAGGAATAAAATAAAACATTTCTTTAACATTGGCTGGATTTTATTTGCATGCAATGGCTAATTTTAGTCTCTATATTTGAAAGGTGTTGCAGAATAATTGTGAAAGTTCCAGAGAATAAAGTGATTGAAAGAATGAAAATAGGTCTTATAAGAAACGATTAGAAAAGCTTCTGGTTTATTTTGCAATAAAAAGATCCAAAGATTAGTGATTAGTTTAACAATTACTTTGTTTAGTTTTATGTGTGTGTGTAGGTATATACATACCTGTATATATACATAAGCATGTGTGTATATGTATAGATATGTGTGTATATATGTATGATGTGTGTGTGTATATATATATATGTGTGTGTAAATGTAATTCTTACCATGGGAGAAAGTTTTAGCATTTGGAGGAGGGAAGAAGATTTCGTCTTCCATTCTTAGAGCCTCTGACGCTTAATAGCCATGAAACAGATGGCAGATCTCTTGATATATTTAATTGCCTCCTTGTTTGCATGGAACAAAGAGAGTGTGGTGCTGGTGGTTTGTGTGTGTGTGTGTGTGTGTGTGTGTGTGTCTGAGAAAGAGAGAGCAGAGTGTTGCAGGGGGTGGGGGTAAGAAGAGGGAGTGGGAAGAGGGAGGAGAAACAGTGGAGAGAAGATGGCAAAGAGATGGGGGATAGCGGAGAGAGAGGAGGGAAATCTAGAACAGAGGGCGAGAACACGTTGTAGATTCCTGAAGGCAGAGAATGGACGGCTCATTGCGGTGTCCCCCAGGTCTTGGCACAGGAAGTGTGGCTGGTGGGTGTCCTACTCCATTTCTGGTGGATAATGGATTGACGTGATGTAGATTCTGATAGTTTGCTCACTTAAATTTCACTTGTCTCCAGCTCCTCCTCTCAATGGCAAAGCAGAATTCCCTTTCTCTGTGCTGTATCCATCCACACAGGGAGTTCTTGTTAAGGTTTAGAATAATCCTGGGGCAGAGAGTGAGGCCTTTCACGATAAAGATGCTGAACAGTTCCTCTGCACGCTTGGAGGAAAATGCAAAAGAAGAATGTGATTTCCACTGTGGAAAAATAGCAGTAATAGTATAAGGCTCTAGGATTGATTAAATGCTTTGCTTGAGCTCTGTTAGATACAAAGACGTGTTTTCTGGCACAAGGTTGATTGGACACTGAAACAAGATTCTTAAATAATCTCGGGAAAACTTGAGAAGGGAGTAGACGCCCGTGTTGGAGGTCACTTCCAGGAGGAAGTTAGATTAGAGGACCTCTGGATACCCTCTCAACTGCTGGGTTCTTGTAACAGTTGCTTCTTTTTTCTCCCTCTCTGGCTTGAAGTAATTCAGCAAGCTTTTCGGCTGTCATTTATACAATTTACAAAATGTTTTTCATCATTCTCATCTTTTAGTCACTTTTTTCTTCCCAGCCAAGTTCCATTAGACATATTGTGAGTAAAAATTTTGAAGAAAAAGCAGATGTCTTAGATGACTTGAAAAAGAGCATCTCACAGGAAGAAGAGACATAATATTTTTCAGACACTTTCAGCATAAGGAGCAAAAAGAAACCATGCTAATAAAGGACCCAATCTCAAGTATCATAAGAATTAGTATAGAGGTTTAGGACATAACTTTAGATGATGACTTTTTCTCTGTCAGAAGATACCATCATGATTCTGTAGGCTACATGGACAAAGGAGGTAAGGAGTAGATCTACTGGGTATAACTCCATCTCTAATTGAGGCAGATGATACCGTAAGAAATGAAGCAGAATCAGCCTCACTCTCCACAGAGGGGAGTTCTCTCCTTACATTCTGACATTTCAAAGGGAAAGAGAGGAAGCAGCTTTTCTGAGTCTTTCTGAGGAGAAGGTGTAGATCAGCCTTAGGGTCCATCAATACGGAGGTGACACCTTTTCCTTTAACGTTAGATGGCTGAGATAATTTGCTTTTGTTGTAGGTTTTATGTAATTCATCAGTGGTTCTTCAAACACCTGACTGAGCCTTTTATTTTTAGAAAGGCAGATTCCTGGGTACATACCTAGTAACCATTGCCAGCTGAATGGAGCCGTGGGGGGAGTGAGGCCTAGACATCTGAAATTTGAAAAAAGACACACCCTGGGTAATGGTAATCATGAGCACAACGGTCTGCTTAAATCCCAGGTTTGGGATTAGTGCAATGCGTTATTTTGACCAGCTCTTTAACTTTGAGCCCGTGTATTCTGGGCACGCGGTTTTCTGAGTTGGGCGTTGGAAGCAGTGGTGGATGAAGGAGGACACTCTTCTGCCCGTATGGACTTCTTTCCTCACCTCCCCCCATCGTCTCAGTTCCCTGGGCCTGGAGGCCTACAAGCATCTGTGCAAGGGAGACAGAAGAAGAAAATCCTCTGCTGTTTCCAACTCTGCACGTGGATGCATTCATCTAACTTGGTGTCACTGTGGCTGGCTTGGCGTCAGCCCGAGGACGGCAGGACCAGGTGCCAGAGCCCTGTGTGCAGAGCGCTGACCGTGCACCAGCTGAGAGAACATCAGCTCTGATGGCTGATGGGCTGAGATGCTGGATGAAAGAGGGAGAAAATTGTGAATCCCTGAAGGTACTAGCTGGGAGCACAGTCAGGGCAGACAAGCGTTCTATTAAACTCTCTTGGGAACAGCCTTAGATAAATGATATAGTTTATGTAGGTACCCATTAAGTATTCTTTCCTGATATTCATATCGTAAATTGTAACCCAGTCACATTTCAAAGGCACAGGTAGACCAAGAAAAAGAATCTTGTTCATGGTTCTGAAAAGACCAGTGGGATTACTAAAAATAAAAGGTAAATTTTGAATGAACTGCAAACACACACAGCTAACTCCATAGAAAACATACCATATTCATGCACGCTGTCGTTGGCCCTATGGATGCTGATATGGTCTGGATCTTAGCAATAAGCTGCTGGGGCCTCTTTCTGCCCTGAGCTTGGTACTTAGAAAAACCTCCTAAACGGAGCAATGATACAGAATATCCAGAGGGCATTCATTTTGTGAAGAAGAGAGATGTTCTTATTGTCTTAGAAAGAAAAGATGATGTTTTCTGTTCTATTTGTAGGTGTCATCATGTCTAGATTGTTCTGATTAGATCATCAGGGAATGGAATCTCTCGTACACTAATGGATGACTGGGTTGCTAGCAGACAATCCCTTAATATGTGTGAGCAAATCCCGTGTTTGTTCTGTGTGTAGTGCAGTGGGAGCAGCTGTAATGTGTAATCCTGGGCCCTACAAAAACATGTCCTCAGGTTTATACCTGAGTTGTTTTAAGGGTTTAAATGGATGAGGCAGTCAGGGAATCATTTTGTTGAGTCATCTTCTTTGCAGGAGAGGGAGTCCAGGCCCAGGGAGGTTACCTCATTTTCAAAGGCGGTCCAACCAGTTTATGGCTAATGTCAGTCTTGGGCTTTTGCACAATCCACAGTGCCTTTTGATGGTGAGCTTACCTCTCATCTCCTGCCCCTCCTGAGCGCTGTGTTTGCCCTGGCTTTGCCCTGAAATCTGTCTCTACCATCTCTACCTCCACCTGGTTACAGACTTCCTGGCTTCCAACCCACCTCTGCGAGAGACTTCCACTCACTGGTGCAACAGTGATTTCTCAGTCATTCTCCCTCAGTGTCAGGTCATAAGAAACTTAATGTGTTGTTTCATCTTCTTCCTCCTCTTCTCTCCTCCCATGTCTCCTTCTCCGTATTCATCGATGTTAGTTGGGGTTATTTCCTAGTAGAAGGGAGAATAGCGTGGCAGCCACCAGGTAGAGCTTACCCTCCACTTGAGTGTGGTGACTGGGAGATCGGGGAAGAGGTGTGCCTTGCTCTTTCCTGGTCTGAGATGTTCGGTGATGCCCAGTGGTTCCAACTTTCATGTTTCTGCTCGGCAAATTCAAGCACTTTTTGAAAACGTTACTACCTGGACTAAATCGGAGAAAAAACAGAGGTTACTTGATTCCTAACCTACAGGCCAGGGGCTAGAAACATGTACCTCTCATGTTCTTAATATTCCTTTTTCTTCCCAGGAGTAAACTCCCTGGTGGGGTGACCTGGGGAGCTGAGGCAGTCGTAGACGGGGGCCGGGCAACGTCCTTGTATGGTTCGGTTAGAGAACTGGGATGACTGTCGTCTTCTGGGGGCTTGTACTGCCCACGTAAGCACCATGACCCTGTGCTTTACAGGCAGCCCTGGGCGGGTGGCAGAGTGGGGGATGCAGTTGATGGTAACTGGGTGGATTTTGTAAGCTCTTCTTTCCCTGAGCCGTGTATGAGCTGGGCAGAGCATGGGTTTGGGATCACACAGACCTGGCTCCCGGCTCTGACTTTGCATTCAGCTGGGGGACACTAGGCACTTGTCTTAACTGTTCTAAGTCTCGGTTCCCTCATCCACAACCCACGGGTCATTACAGGGCCTGCTTCACGAGGTTGTTGGCGGGACTGAATGAAAACTGCACACAGCCAGCGGTCATCAATGTCGGTGCTCAGTGCCAACCACCGCTGCCCTGGTTCTGCTGTTGCCGTCAGGCAGTCAAGGCCCTGCGTGGCTTCCTGAGCTGTACTTACTGGAGGAGGGCATCCTTTTAAGGAAGCAATCACTGATTGCTTTGTATTTTATTATTTAAAAAATATTAGACTCCCTTAATTAAGGATTTTAATAAAATAGACCATGGTCTTTTGTTTGAATCCATGGAGATAGAGTTTTCAATTAATAACAACGTTAGCTTCCTAGTTGTTGCCTTTCAACAAGTACTGAACCGGCGGCGATGAAACACAGGACAAGTGGCCCTTCATCCCAGCCCTGCGGGTCTGTAGCCCGTTGAGGAGGTAGTTGCGTGCACGCAAAGCAGGGTACGGACAGGGAAGTAGGAGGTCGCACAGGGCACACAGTGTGGCACACAGGAGGTAAGGTTCCTGTTGTGTTGTGGGAAGACTTTCTTCCATCATCTGCTCAGCAGAAATCTCAAAGGAAACACATGGACGCTGCGTCTGATTTCCAAGTGTTTCTGCTTTAGGAACAGCAAGGGAAGGTTAAGATGCAGACAAACAGGACTAACTGGTCCTTCGACAGAGACTGAAATGGCTCTCCGGTGCGTTTGTGAATCAATGCGTGGTGGTCTCTAATTGGCCAAAGTTTAACGAGGAGAAATAAACTTCCCCACCTGTCTGCTGAGGCCACTTCGCAGCAGGCTCGTGCTCATCTGAATGGCCTCATGGGTGACGCAGTCTCACTGTGCGCCGTGCTTCAGCGCTTCGTAGGTGTTGACGTTACAGTGTTTAATCCCCGTACATTTCTGCTTCCATGATTCAAAGCACACTCCCGTCATCCACATGCATTACACGTGCATGATAAAATTATTCCTACAGAAGGTGGTGACAGGTCCTGAAGTAGTTTTGAACAAAATTATTATACAAAGTGAACGCTAACACGTAAAGCAGATTTAGTATCTATTTGGTCCCATGAAAATATACATAAAATTATGATAGGGCTTGTTTTAAAATGCTGTATTCTTTCTCAGTGGTAGTTGATGCCTTTCCTTTCTTTGCTTCTTCTAGACCGCGCAGACGGTTCTGGTGGTGGTCGTGGTTTTTGGGATATCCTGGCTGCCACACCACGTCATTCATCTCTGGGCTGAGTTTGGTGTTTTCCCGCTGACCCCTGCCTCCTTCTTCTTCAGAATCACCGCCCACTGCCTGGCGTACAGCAATTCCTCGGTGAATCCTATCATATACGCATTTCTCTCTGAAAATTTCAGGAAGGCCTATAAGCAGGTGTTCAAGTGCCACATTCGCAATGAATCATCTCTCAATGATACTAAGGAAAATAAAAGTCGAATAGACACCCCACCATCAACCAACTGTACTCACGTGTGAGAAAGATATATTAGAGCACTTTACTGTGGAGTTCCCATGTATGTGGACCAGACACATAACAAATACAAAGAAGTAGTAAGCAAGGCTGCAACATGTTATCCTAACAACAATTCATGTTATTTTAATTAAACTTCACTTGTGTTTAAAAGTGCTTTGATCCATTTAGGAAATCCCTAGCTCTAGTGAAGATTACTTCTAAATTTTATTTTATTTCTAAATTATATTTCAAAAACAAAATAAAATACTTTATAGTTTTATACCTCAACAGAAATGAAAGTTTCATAGAATTCCATAAGTATGTTCAATTCTTCATACAATAAGAAAAAACGATTTATAAATACAGTCAGAAATACTTGTGATCTACATTTTGGAGCAAATTTATTTACAAAAAGCATTTATGCTTTAGTTCTTCAATTTTAAGAAAAGGAGTAATAGTATAAGCTAGGTGTTTTAGAATATGATCATGGACCCACAAAGTTTCCCTGAATTTTATTTTTGTGGCCATTTATACAGAGACAGATCTATTAAGTGGAAATATGACTTTGCTAGTTTATTTGCACAGGGCACACTGCTCCCGGTTGTGAAGAGTGTACAGGCTTCTGCAGGTGTGCTGTACATCTGCGGTCGTGAGGTCCGTCAAGTTTATCTCAGGAGGTCCGTGACATGTTGCAGCGACCCCCCAGCGTTGGTTGTTGGCTCTGTCAATTAGAGACTGTCCCGTGAACTCAGGCTTCGTAGAGTTGACTAAAAAAAATCAGCAAACAGTGCCAAGTGCATCTCTTCTAATAGCAGAAGCTATGAGTGAGGGTTTGAGAATGAAACTGGGCATTAAAATTACATATCTACTTGGTCAAGGTATTCAGGGCTATGCCTTGAATGGAACCTACCCAAAAGAGAGAATTAAAAAAAAAAAACGTCAATGAAGGTAGATGTGTAAATGGTCAACGTGTAGATAATAATTTCTATGGGGCCAAAGACTAGTCAGAATTCAGTAAGTCATATGCCACATGAGGAAAGCACTAAACCTTTGGTTCAGATAACGTTTGAAGAAAACAAATCTTGTGAATGGATGTACCTAGAGATATCTCATCTTGTACAAACAAACGCTTTTTCATCAAGTCTGTGATGATGCGTAATGCACATTTACCCCAGATAGTATTCCCTCTGGAAATGTTAATTTGGGGTTGAAATCATCACAACTTGAGTTTCAAATGTAGTTTTCATGATAATTTCATATTTATTCATGTTTACAATGAGAAAATGGTGTGAAAAGATTAAATTATCCTATATTGGGAAATAATTTTCAGACTGCAAGACTTTGATACATTTTAGAAGGATACAAAAGCAAGAAAATTTTGAAAAAAGGATTTTGTGTAACATACAGCTGTGTCAAATCAGGACTCCATATAAAATATCAGATTTTAGATCAAAAACAAACTCAATGTAAGTCTTTGCATGTTAACTTCTCTAGCTCATCACTTATTTTCACTAATTATATTCCCCTAGCAAACAGTGTTTACATTTGCAATGGTATGAATAGTTCTCTGGACAGAATAGGAGAAAATTGTTCGAGAGGATGGGAAGTCGTGAGCTTTCATGTTTCATGGCTGAGGAAAGAATTGGTGTATATGTATATGTGAGTATTTTGAAGAACAGCAAAAGTCCTTTGCACAGAAAATTTTTTGCACTTTATTCAAATAGAGCAGCAGGAACGTTTTCTCCTGTCAATGATACCTCATGTGCTTTGTGGAACATGAAGTCACCATTGCCAACGCCAGAACAACTTCTGTGTGTCTGGACTCACAAGGGGGTTCAAAGAGGTGCCTCCTGGTTGCCTCTGGACTTGCATGGATGAGAACGATTTCCTGCACTGTAAATGACCCCTTGTTTTCCTCTTCTGATTCCCATGCACATACATGGAAATTACTGTATTGGAAAAATACAGTAGCTAATGCTGCTGTTTTCTAAGAAGCGTGTCAAAAACGAAAGCATGATGCATTACCCACGTTATTCCTCCAGTTCCTCCCAAATGCGGTTGGCATGATGGAAGCTAGAGGCACAGCACTAAAGTAATAACTGGAACCTGCAAAGCCCGGAATGTGCTGAGTGTAGATGCAAATTGCTACGTTGTATAGTTGCATAGGATGGGACTCCGGCCCATCGTCTTTTAATCAATTCCTCTCATTCAGAGTTTAGATTATCCACTTCTGTACCAAATTTTGATACTGATGATAAGTTATGTCCTGCCAAGATGGAAGCCTATATGCAGTTTTCTAAATGAGGAGTTCCAGCAGAACTTGTAACAGACTCTGGTTGCCCCAAGAAGTGCCGGAGGAGTGCTGTGCGTTGGCCCAGCATCCGCTGCCTAGGGGCTGCTTTTCCTAGTGCATAATTAACGTGACCAATTCAGAAGCACCTTCTCTTCCTTCATTAAATAAAGAAGGCCTCCCAAACACATGCTTTTTCTCCCAGCAGCCAGGCTAACGGAGAAATACCATGTGTGCCTTTGAAGTTGGGCTGCTTGAAAACCATGTGTTTCAGTGAACTTCAAAGAAAATTGATGCCTTCTCCTCAGATTTGGCTGCCTCAGGGCTCCAAGGCAGGTGGGCTTTTTCTGGGCTTTTTGCTTTCGGATAGGGAGACAGGCTCTGGAATGTTTAAATAGCCGAAATGTTTGCTCCTTCATAGGGATAAGTGACAATTTCAGTTTCTTAGTGATGAGTATAGTGAGTGGTTGGAAAGACTTTCTTGTCCTGTATTCCCAGAAGATACCTTTAATCGATTCTCTCTCTGCTATACTGACCACGTATGTGCTCAGCAGTTTGGGGGCCTGAGGCCGTTTGCTGAATATTTTAGGTAAATATTTTTGCTTTTAATGAAATTGTTCTACTGCACACATCAGGAGTAAACCTTCATTTCCTTCTCCCCTGCCCCCAACCTCTAGCGCTTCTATCGTAACTTGCTTGTATCCAGAAGTCCTCACCCTCCTGTTTACCGGAGGAGAATTCCTCCTTCCCCTCAGATGTAATGAGTTAGAGTGGAGAGGAGGGATGCTGGCTGAATTGCATGAGTCACGCAAGGCTAAGAGCTTCGGTGACTCAGTTTTAAATTGGGACATTGCAGATGACTGCATTTGCTTGTTGTCCCAGATGTACTGAGACAGCGCAGTAATCATTTCAATATGTTAACTGAAACCCAAGGTCCAGCTTCTTCTGGGCAGGAGAGGATAACTTATCCAAGCATCTGTTTCCTTTCCGCAGATGGCCCTAGACGCCTGGAACTCCCAGCTGCTTGTGTCGAAGCAGCAGCACATCAAGTAAAATAACGTATCATATAGCTTCACCATGTTCTTGCGTAAAAGGATTTATGAAATACATGTATATAAACTACATAGTCAAGTAAACTGGGTAAATATATCAATGTGGCTACTTTCTCTGGAAACTTATCATCTAAAATTTATGAATTTTGATCAAGTCTGGTTGCAAATATCTCCCAGGTTTTAAATTTGTAAGTGACTTTCTTTCTAAGGTAATCGTCTTCTTTGGCCTCTAAAAAAAATGTTGCGTATTAGGTTATTTGTCAAGTGATGTTAATGACTTGTTTATTTAATGACTTGTTTATTTAAAAAAACTATATATAGTATGAATAGGTGGCTTAAAATGCTGACAGTTACTTATTGTGTTGGAAAGAGTAAATTACAAAATGGTAATTATACCTGATTTTAATTTGCACTGTATTTTTATTTTTTGCTGAGAAAGACTTGCCCTGAGCTAACATCCCTTGCCAATCTTCCTCTTTTTGTATGTGAGCCACCGACATGACATGGCCACTGACAGATGAGTGGCGTAGGTCCACGCCTGGGAACTGAACCCGGGATGCTGAAGCAGAGCGTGCCGAACTTAACCACTAAGCCATCAGGGCTGGCCCTCTACAGTATTTTAATATTTTCTCTTTTAGAAGTGGAAAAGTTGAGCCTGAAGAACAATTTAAAATGCTTAAACCGTTGTTGATGTGAGCCGTGTCTACATCAGGCGAGTGTATCTAAGGAGAGTGGATCGTACATTGTAATGCATCAGTCGGATGTTTCGTTTACTTGCGAAAGCGCCACAGACTCTAGATGGTGGTTTCCTTTCTTAGCTTGGCTGCTTCACTCACATTCACCACTGCTGCCTCCTGAGCACTGGCTCGCTGCGCCTCTCCAGCGGTCCTCATGGACATGCTTCTGTCCTGGGTGCAGCAGGAGTGGGAGAGGTCACCACGGGGAGCAGTGAGTGGGAAGGGAAGATGGTGGTAAGCTTCTTACTTTTGTATATATTCAGAAATAACCTCTGCTGGACTTTCTGTCTATGTCTGTTTTAACATTGGCTGTTTGCCATATTCAGACAATTGTATGAAGAGCTGATTCTGTAGCTAAAGGTTTAGATGTCACTTTTGGGGTGGAAAGCCTCATCTTTTTTGCTGACGAACAGGTTTCTGGGCATCTCAAGGTATGTTGTATGACTCCACATTTTCAGCAGTTAGAGAAGTCAAAGGAAAGCTCACCAGCTGCTGGGATAGATGGGAACTGAATCCACCATTCAGATCCATCAGACTCTGTGGTAGTGGTGATCAATGAGGTAACCCATAAACTGGGATGCGTTTTGTGGTTGGCTGTAGGTTTTCTATGGGACACCATGCACTACAGTACCTTATTTCAAAAGATTAGATATTGACAATTAAACTGGAATATTTATGTGTCGTTGTTCTAAAGACGGTTGTGGATCATTAAGCTCTTTTTTTTCCCTTTGATGAGCTTGTTTTGGGCCATCAAGCTAACATGCCATGCAGTGGGCAGACATGTGATGGTCCTGGGTCTGGTGCTGGTGGAGAATGAACTGTACCCAATGCGGAAGTGTCTGGTAGCACTTGACAGTGCGGTAACATCAGAGCAAGTGCAAGGCAGACCTCCGGGCACTGTCAAGGTAGTGAGCACAAAATTTGAGGGGTGTGATTTATTTGTGTAC